TAAAACTGAGTGAAATACAAATCCTGCTCCCCAATTTGCCCACACCTTCACTTTATGTTCCACAGCACAAATTTTGATCAAACACCATAACTGTTCTTCAGCTGGAATCGAACAGACATGTACACACACATTTTCCAGCACCTCACTGGTGTCCTGGAACAGGAGCTGAGCAAAAAAAGAGAAATGTTTGTGCCTCAAACCTGCAGACACTGTGATGCAAAGAAAGAAAGGAWGGGGGCAAGGGGAATCACACACCCCAAACCTCTTCCCTACAATTTTCAATTTTACTCAAACACTAGGAAAAAATTACTTTTGTTGCCAGTAGAGTAAAACACAATAAAGTCTGTATGTTTCTTGGCAAGGAACCGAAGTGACCATTTTGGAAACATGGGATTGGTACACAAATGTAAAGGAACTATAAAAACAGAGCAATCATATTTGTGTATACAAGCTAATATTAGCCATTAGGAGGGAATTCATTATTTTGGAAGGCTTAGTTATAAATATTATACTTTTCCCTCGCTCATAACATTAACTTCCCTTCCACAAAATCACATGGCTAAAAGGACCAAAGTTAGAAAAAAACCCAAAGTTATCAGACAACTGAAAAATAAAGTTACTGAGCYAGAAGTTGTTTCACTTACAAGAGACTGACACTAACTAAAGTGATTAGATAATATTATTTACTGCTTTATGTGACATAATAGTATTAATGCATCTATTAAGAGAAGATTAGAAACCATCAATGACTATTTTTCCCTACTCACAAACTCCGAAACCGTGGTGAGAAAAGAAAAAATGTTCTGAATCTGTAAGAGGGTGACTTGGCTTTCTTAACTTTCCCACCAAAAAAAAAAAAAATTTTAAAATACAAGAGAAACGTGAATATGTTTRTCATTTAAATCTTGAAAACAAAGCTATTTAGCTCTTATACCATCAACACTACCAGATTTAGTAAGTACACTAACTCCTATTCAGCATTTCAACATACTAGACTAAGAAAGTGTCAACAATATACAACATCATTTGGGAAATGAAAGCTGAGAAACATAACCTGAAATTCCGTGTAACCTCAAGACTTCCTGAATCCTAAATACAGTCCAAACTTAAAAATCACAAAGGCACAAGCCCCTTATTTGTCAATCTTTGTAGTGGATTTCATAAGTYGCATTTCAACCATTTATTTCTATTTAAATATTTCTACTTGTCCCAGTTTTTCCCATGACACTTCTAAATTGTCTCTTACCCKTGCCAATTCCCCGCTTTCTAAAATTGTGACAATGACCCTCCTTAGAGTCCGTCAGCCAAAGCCACAGTGATCACAGAGGGGAAAGATGACTTAAAAAAATCAGAAGTAAGTGAAAGGCCATAATCTTAGCAGCAAAAAACCCGAGCATCTATACAGCACAAAAAGGAGTTTTCTTTTTCTTTCAACCTGAGTTACACATTTAATTCTTCCAACTATATTTCTTACTCCTCCTATCCTCCCTTTCCCATTTTTCATCCTTTCTGGTTCATAAAGATTGTCATCTAAACTTCTGCACAGTCAAAAAGATAAAGATTGCCATCTAAACTTCTGCACAGTCAAAAAGTGAAGGTTTAGGCTCCACTTTATCAGTGGATGCTCACAAAATACAGTTTGCAGCAGCAGAGACCTACTCCTCTGGAACTGCCTCATGAGAAGACAGTTGAAGTGTTGAGGAGGGAGGGAAGGAAAGGAAGGGAAGTCACAGGCTTCCTGCTATTAAAAGCCAAATTTAAACCCTTTCTACATCAAAAGGGCCTCTGTTGTTGGCAGTAATGCAAAGAGTAGAAAATTTGGTTGATACAGCTTCTTCATTATGCCTTAAAGGCAGCTCTTCCATGTGGAAGACGAGGAACACTAGAAGAATGCTGTGGGGAAGCCACATTCCCATTTTTCATGAAATTGCTGCAGGAAGATGTCAGATGATAGCATGGCCACCTAAMGCTGTTCTGCAAGAGCTGTAAGTGGGCTAAGCCCTCTCAAAACACTCCATCCAGAAAAACCTGTGCAGTAGAACATGCCCTGCATCTCCAGTACTCTACTCCATTTACCAATGCTACAGTGCTCTTACTTCCTACACACCACCTTCACAACAGCAACAGGAAAAAAAAAATCTGTCTCTAACTGAACTACAGATAATAAAAGGAACATTGAAAAAAATAGTCTTTACTGTAGTTAACTTGCCTACAACTTTAACCACCTTCACATTAATCTTAGCTTTAACTATTCAGAGCATTAATTACCTGGAGCACTTGATTCCRTACAGTTCCTCAAATAATTAATTAGCTAAAGGGATTGAGGATTGGARTCCCAGAGGAAATTCTACTTTTGTAGAACTACACGGATTTCACCTTGTTAAATGCTGCAACAATTCACCGAAAGRCACACAACAATTTCAACTATTTAGGGGCAGAATCCTAAAACCAAACCAAATAAAATCCCCTCACACTCACTGAAGYAGGCCAGCATTTTTAGCAGTGGATATCCTGTTTAGTTACCAGAAAGAAGAGTAACACTGAATTAAGACTTTTGATTTCCTCATTCATAGCATTAGATATTTTTCCTAACAGGTATCCTTTCCCTGTTTCAAACGTTCATTGTCAAACGACAGCCAAACCAACAGCAAGGCCTAAGAATAACGTGCACCAACAGAAATAACCCAAAACTAGTTACAGGCAAGTACACTAAAATTAAAGTCTCMCCATCTGCAGCATCTCACTGTTTTCCCTACCTCTCTCCTGCTACTCATCACATCACCTGTGGTGTTGTATGTAAACATGTTTATGGTCCAAAGCAACTGATCTGAACATGAAGAGAAGGAAGGCTTTGCTCTTCCTATCCTTCCAAAAAATCTCCACGCTATTTCTCTCATTAGCTGAATCCCACATCATTTTCCCACACGGTAAGGAGAGAAGAAAGCGAATGAATCAAAGGCAAAAAGGGTAACAGAAAGCGAGACAACACAGAGAGCAGTTAGTTATTTGGAAGAAAACACAAGTTACTTGAGGACAGATGTGTAACTTGCAAGAATTTCAAAACACTGAGAAACAGCCTTTTCCCTGATGTAAAGTACATGCTATGATCCACTGATTATTTTTGGCAATAGARCCCTAAAAACGATGCATTATAACTTACTCCCTGTCCATTTGAAATACACCACACTGCCATACTTGATTTTTCTGCACCTCAGTGTTCCAATACGTAGGACCCACCAAGGGACAAGGACAAGGGACAGAATGCCATGGGGGGACAATGCACGGCTCCTGAGGCTCCAGCAGCTTCCCTGTGCCCGGTGATTGGCAGCAGGGCTGTGCTGGCACAGGGCTGCCCCGTAATCCAAATCCCTCGCTATGAGAAGGCAGAAGCCAGCAGAGCCTCCCGAGGCCAAATTTGCCATGTTGCCCTGGATTCCAGCTGCAGGCTCAGCTCTGCCCAAACCTACAGTGCAAAGCGAGATACTCGAGGAACCCACTGCTGCTGCAATCCCAGTGTGTCCCAGTTCCTCACCAGYTCTGTACACGTTTCTGGGCTCTCAGTTCCTCACAGATTTGGGTATGCAGGGTTGAGGTTATCTCCCCACTTCATACGCTGTCCATTACACAGCATCATAATCCTTCTAAGAGCATCCACGTGTTTAAAAACTTCAAAAAATGGTGTTGATACTCTCAAAGGTACCAGGGATCGTTCACTTCCACTTTCATTTATGAACTTTTTACTTAGCACTCARTTTTGACATCTGTTTAACCAAGTCAACTCATGCACGTCTTTTAAGTCACACGAGTCTTTTAAGAGTTCTCTGGTAACAAGAGCAGCCCGAAGGAAGAGACAGCTCAGCAGTAAAAGGATGCAGGACCAGGAACTTAAGAAAAAGTTATTTTGGAAAAAGAAAATACTCCTTATAAAGAGGAGCTAAAAACATGTAGCACATAATGTATTCGTTATGAATCAGTCTGAACTTTCATCCAAAAGACTGTGTACCTTATCATGAACTATCATTTTCTGATTAGGAAGAAGTACTGTCCAGGCTCCTTGGCTAAACTTTCAGTTCAGATATTCTTATAAAAGAATTAACTAGYGGAAGACTAATGAAAGCTTAACCTTCCCAAAAAGGCAGGATTCACAAAATASATTATACCACTAAAAGCTAAAGGATGGCAATACAAAACTGTTATGTTTGAAAACAAGCAAGACAAAAACAATAATACAATCTAAAAAAACRTAAATTTAAGCACAGAAAATAAGCTTTGAAATTTTAATACTTTGACTCAATTAGTATTAATTTAGCTGGGATAATTGCAAGAATAAATTAACATGCAGAAGAATATCTTCTTATTCTCTAGCAAAGTTAGTCAAAAAGTTAGCAAACATAAATCCTTCTCAGACGAAGGACAAGATATCCGTTTTCCCTATCTTAATGCCATTCCCTTTCTCACAACTGCCAAATAACTGAACAGGTATTAGGTGCAAAAAAGAATAGCTTTTAGAAAGATAATTTAACACAAACATCTGGAGAAGCAAACACAACAAAATCCCCAGAATTCAGAGTACGATTTCATTGTGTGAGGAGACAGAAAATCAAGCCTTACTTGCTCTAAATGAAGAAAATTGTGTTCCTTTTGTACACTGACACGAGGCATGTTTACAGCAATATGAATCAATGTGCTATAGCTGAAGTAAATCAGTGTCAGCCATGTTGTGAAAGAAACTGCAGTTAACAAAMCCACAAAACTCACGACTTAATCAAATCAGCTATGCCTTGATATAAATTATTTTTCACTGCTAGATCTTACTTATGATTGGTGCCTGACTTCTTCAGGTTAATGTCTATTAATCCCATCTAAAAATACACATCCAAATTCTAGAGGCAGTGAAACAGCAGCAAGAGAAAAATAATACACAAGATAGAAACCAGGGGCTCTRACTGCGGCGCACAGGAGGAAGGTACACTGTAAAGTGAAAAAGTAAATGCACTTACTCAGCATTAAATCCATTCACGTGCAAGATCCTCATCTGCTTGACTATTGTGCTTTTACCGGATTCACCAGCACCTAGAAAATGAAAGTAAATAAATTTCAGAAGGAAGCATAAGTGATTAAGGGACACTCTAGAATTTTTTCTTCGGGGTAAAATCGAGAAAGTTGGGTTTCTCAGTGCAAGAGCGAAAAGTGAAAGAAATAATTGCCACTGGAAACTTCAGTTGTAGCTAAAAATAAATGCCCAGCTCAAGTCATGTGTCAGATCTGAATCTTGGATCATTTCACTGTCCATTTTTCCAGTGTCAACGTTAAAAGCAGATTGCAGTATTTGGAAAGAAAATGGACAACTTCAACATTTTACAGCAAAGATGACAGAACATCATAATCTGGTTGCCTTGTCACTATTTTCTGACAGAGAGAAAGACTGACTGAAGTCGCTACTACACCGAAGCAATTTTGTTATATCCTTGAAGTATTTTATGTTTGGCTTCAGTTCATCATCACCCAGTCAAACTCTGTAACTTAAATCACAAGGAATAAAATATGCAGATACTCACATTTGAAAAAGGAAGGCATCCCTTTAAGCCTCCACCCACAAAGCTACAAAAAACCTCCTTCTCTTATTTGTGTCTCGGAAGCAACCTCCCACCCTCCCTACATGTTCCAAAATCAACCCTACACACGACGAGACGCAGGGACCACCTTTCGTGGCTGCCTGCTCCAAAGACCGACCCCCGCAGCTCTCCCCTCCGTACCTGCAGTGCCAAAACCCCACTCCACTTTACTCCAGTTTCCATAAGTAGATGGATTCTATTTCTGCTGTGCTGCTTGGATGCCAGTGCACAGGGCAGCCCATCTGCCTATAGTACCCGTTTTTCCATGCACGCTGAACAACTCCAACAGCAGCATTTAATTGAGCTGCTCCACGCTGCCAGATCGGCAGCTTTCTATATAAAGCAAACGTATTCTTGCAGGAGTAGTAGCATAACGTGGCAAAATTTAGAAAGATTCCCCTTAGCATCTCTCGGCTACTTATTATTTATTCCCCTCCTCAGCCCGTGCCTCACCCACAGGAACCGTACGTCTGTGGCAGAACGGGCAGGGAGGTACAGTTTGTATTTATAGGATGTCAGGCCTCTGCTAGCACACACTGACAGCACAAGCCTCCATTTTGAGCTTCATGTTCAAAACTGTATTTTAGCAGTTACGTTTCAAAGTCCATTTTCTCACAAACGCATTCCCCCTCTCCTTTCTCCCTTCCTTTCCTTCTCCCTCATGAATTTGCCGAAGTCTGCCTCTGCTCTCCATAAAACCTACTTGCACGTTTTGCCGCTTTAATCCCAGAGCCTTATTCCTTTTTCCTCTCCTTGCTCACTGCTGTTTTTGAAGCATTTAGAGAGCAGTTTTTCTCTACAACTCTTTATGCAAGCACCACTTCTCCACTACACTACGACTTTACACCATACACCCTATTTCTCATCAGGCAGACTGCACCATGCCATAAACACAGGTGGCAAAACCAATCAAGAACTAGAATCTTGGGATAAGAGACACTGGATCTTCTTCACAACTAAGAATTATGAGGAAGGCAGTATCTCCAATAGTAATATGTCCATTTAATAATTAATAACAATAAATTTGAACTGTAACACTAGATCACATATTTATAAAGATGGGGAGCCAAAACCTTTACTTCACTTGGGCCAAGAACAGGGCTGGACAGTTGTTGCATTTGCTATAAACACATACGGTTTGGTATTGACACACCTGGGTTCTCTGGATGGGATACAACACCAGTGAACCAAAATGAAGCACTGCACATTTCTCCATAAGTCTAGCTCTATATYTGGCTGCTTGTTAAGGCCATATTCTCACCAACAATTACGCACAGGTTTAACTTCACCACCAAGGAGAGTTCCATTAATTTCAGCGGGACTGCTCGTGGCAGCGGGGCAAGCACGTGTACAGCGATGGGGCCTACGAGCAGCAGCAKAAACCCACTAGAATATTCAGCAGCTCTTCTTTGTTGCTATTTGAATATGATTTGAAAAGATTAAGAACACTTTCCAAGTGCCTTTTTGTTTCACGTGTCTTGTAAAGGAAACAGAACATAATAATAGGGAGGTGAGCTTTTGTATTTTTTACCAGTGTGTCAGTTACAGACTATCCACAATCCATGRCAGAAACTGTAACAGCTGAACTATCACTTTAAAACACACACACAGATTTYACTGCCATCGCTAAACACACACAAATTTTTATTTGCAAATATCTAAACTATTTTTCAGCTACCAAAACTAAAGAAAACAGACAGAAAATCCAGGCAAGCCCATCATGTTTCTGTTTGCTGAAATTTTGCCTCTTACGAAAGCAATTCGTCTGATGACAAATAGTTTCTACGTATCTACGTAATGTTCAGCCTGAAGTCTGGAAGTCCAAGACATTTCCCAAGAGCTGAAGTCCAAATTATCCTGTTAAAAGATTGCTGCTGAAGCCCTGGCAGGCTCCTCAGTGCTGCAGGTGCTGCTGTAGTCCCAGTCACTCTCCATTTATATTAAGTCTTTCTTCAAATGAGTATACGAAAGATTTTACTGGTGATAGTACACTTTCAAATTCACCGCCATCAAAAATTCTTTTTTTTTTTTTCCCCCTTCAGTTAGGGTTTTTTCCCCCAAAAACTGAGTCAGCTCGGCGAGGCCTAGCCCGTGCTCCACGCTACAGCCCTGCAGAATGTGCACAGGCAGTCCCTCGGCGTGACCAAAACAACCCACGGCTCGTAACTGCATCTGATCTTGAAACACTACTTCAAAATACTCTGAAATAACGAGCCTGACAAACATTTACTTGTCCTCTCCGATATCGATATTTGGACCTTTCCCTTCCTGGAAAGCCACAACCCGCATTTGTAAAGGTATCTGCTTTAAACACGAGCAGGTAACGCAAAGGAGCGGCCGGAGCAGCACCTGGAGCCSGGCTCTGCCGGCGCTCCAACGCGCGGTACCTCAACAATTCCTGGTGCGACAGCGGAGGGAGCCGAGCCCGGRGCCGGGGCCGGGGCTGTGCCCGTGCCCGCCCGGCCCTGCGCTGCTCCGCGGCCCCAACGCGGCCGCGCTTCCCTCCGGGACCGACATCCTCCCTCCGTTTCCCCCAAACGATTCCCCGACTTCCTCCCTTCCTCTTCCTCCTCTCCCCGGCCTGGCCGCACGTCCCTCGGCACCCCGGCCCCGGCGCGGGGAGCGGTGTCCGGCCCTGCCGCGYTCGCCCACGGCCGCTGTCACTGCCCTGCCCTGTTTATCTCGCAGGCTCCCCGCGGGCCCCTCACCGCGGCATCCCCGGCCCCCTCCCCACGCCCGCCCGAGGCCCGCTGCCCAGAGAGCGGCCCCGCGCCGCCGCTCCGTACCTGCCCCGGCCCCTCCCGCGGC